TCAATAAGACTTTATAATTAGACAAGTAACAAATTCTACACCACATGATACAGAGAGAGTTAATAGTCAAAGTAATATTATGTTAGTGGGTCAAAATCAAAATATGAACCAAATTCTAACTCGAGCACAGTTAAACAAAATGATGGAGGCATCACTTTGTTGATAACTTGGTTTAAGAGATAGACATAGGTTTAACAATGACTATGCAAATAGAACTTACTTCAAGTCAAGTAATCCAAGAATTAAAAAATCTTAAAATTTAGTAAATTTGAGGGCAATTAAGTTGTCCAAGAATTGAAAAATCTTAAAATTTAGTAAGTTTGAAGACAATATAAGAGAATCTATGGTTAAACATGTAGGCAAATACTAAATTGAATATGGTGATTTGGTCAATAATAAATATTTAAAAATAAAATACTTTTTGGATTTTTTAACTAAGAGTGCCTTTAAATAGTTCACGACTTTACCCACTTATTCAACTTATTCTTAAAACCATTAGAAATGAGTTTTCACAAATAATTTTTTAAGGGCAAAGGTAAATTTAGTCTAATGAATTTGATTAATATAAAGAAGAGTTCCTTTGAGATTATTGATGAATGTTTAAATAAGTTCATGCAAATGAAAGCTAGATGGTTCAACCCAATACTTGAACAAGAATTAGTTCAGATGACTACGACAAGTTTAGACTGCTCAATAAAAAAGAAACTTGTTAAACAACAACTCAAGTTTAAAAAGACCATAGAAAAGCAAAAAATAGTTAAATCAATTAAAAGGTTAGATTGCATATATGATAATGAACTCATGCATTTTGAGAAATACAAGAGAATCCTAAAACTAGAGGCTCAAAGGAAATTAACTTGGCAAAAAAGATATAGCCACATTTCCCTCCAAATTTTAACAAAAATAACAATAATTTAAAAACACAATTCTTTTCATATTCATTTACAAGACATGCATTTTTGGGAGGCATCTATTCACCTATGTCAAACTTCAACCACAAAATTGGCTAAGTGTTGGTCATGTGGCACCTTAGCCAAGGATTAATAATTTTACTATAATATTGGTCATTGTCGTTGTTTGATCTCCAAAATGACTAAGTGTTGGTGTCGTTTGACACATTAGTTAAAGATTAGTGATTCAATCAAAATATTGATTAGAATAATGGTTTGACCATAAAGGTAATCAAGTATTGGTTGTTAAGCACTTTGGTCAAGAATTAGTGATTCAACTAAAATATTGGTCAAGGTAATGATTCACTCATAAATGTGGCCAGGTGTTGAGCACCTAGAACCTTAAATCAAGATTTAGTTAGAAGTTAAGTCATATCAGTTTCAATTATAAAAATGACTAAATATTGGTTACTTAGTGTAATTCGACCACAGAGACGTTTAAAATATATTTACTATTAGAGTCACAAAAGTGACTAAGTGTTAGATATTTAGTACAATTCAACCAACAATATTAGTCAGGATAGTGATTGGACAAAAATGTAAGTCTTATTAGTTTAACCAACCATAAAAGTGGCTAAGCGTTAGATGCTTAGAACCTTAGATCAATTATTCAATTAGAATCTAAATTACATCAATCTGACCATTGGCCTTTGGCCAATTTTTAAAGTTAGGTGCAGATATAGGAAGATAATGATCAAAGTAAGTAGTTTGACATTGCACTAGATGACATTGAAAGATATAATTTAACCAAGAAGTTATCAATTTTAAGAGGAACTTATTAAAGTAGTCTTCAATTCTATCAACTAGAGAGTATTTTGACCACAAATGCTAATTAAAGAATCTCAATCAAAAGTAAATCCACCAAGTGGACATATACAATTGGCATGGCAATAGTTATCACAGTGTTCATAACCTAAAATATGGATTTAATAAATTTTAGAAATTATCTAATATGTTTTAAGAATGTAAGTTTAATAGATATTAGAAGTTATCTAACATATTTTAGGAACATTATTTAACTCATATGTAATTCGCAGTCAGCATATTTTTAGTTGTTATTTTTTAGTAATTTTCTATGTAATCTATAAATAGAAATTTTATATTTCCATTTAAAAGGTTTTTCTAGAAAACAATGACAAGGCAAAGTAAAAAAAATACACTAAAAAAGAAGAAAAAAATATGTTATAAAAAAATTAAAAATATAATCAGTTATGAACTCTTTTCCAAACATTTAAAATTTTTAAAATAATAATCTTTAACAACGTTATTTAGTATGCGACTCTTAGACTTATAATGATTTTATTTTATGTTACTTGTACTTTTATTTTTGAGTTTATTTAATAAATTTAAATATTATTTTATTTTCTTCTACATTTTGATTGTGATTATTCTTTTATTTTTTATTAAATTTAATAATTTAAAGTTAACTAAATTAATTTATACAAAAGGTCCTTTTTAAAATTAGTGGAGCTTATCGATCTAACTCCAAATTTGTATTGAGTAAAAATTTCAAATACGAATTTTAACTTAAATTTTGTAATGTTTACATTATTTGTGGGGATTGCCAAAGCTAATTGCAAAAATTGTGCCTAATTCATTGCAATTATTTGTACATTCATATCGGACAGAACATCCAAGAGTTGTGCTTAGAATATTATTATTTAGCAAGCAGCAAAGGCAACACTTGAATAGGAGTTTATAAAAGTGTAGAAGATTGACCACGATGCTTTTGACTGCCTCAATAATATTATTATGCAAACTTTGTTTAGAGCAGATTCGATACATGGCGAGGTAAACATGTGTTAACATTAATTGATTTAAAGCGTGCGTGTATTTATGTTTGAATAATCAATAATTTATAATTATTTTAATGCTTTTAATTGTAACTTTTATTAGATTCACCTTTACATATTTTTAACATATTTTTAAATACGCACGTATAATATGTTAAGCCATATAAGTTTATAATTTATTTCAAAAATTAAAATTTATTTCTTTTAATAGTATCATTTATTGGAAACTATCTTTTAGTATTTTTAAAATGTTAATAAAAATAACTATATCTGTCTCTCTTCGTTTTTATTGTAAATTACTTTGTATAATTTTAATAAATAATTAATATTTTAGTTTATATAAAATTTACTATCTAATTTCTAATTTTATCATTTTTCTCTCAATTAATTAACTTGTTCTATTTATTAAACTTACTCAATAACTCTCAATATTAAAAATATTTAATGAAATGTGCGAAAAAATTATGAAAATATTGTAATTTGGTCTTATTAACTCTTAACTTTGTATTTTTTAATTACCCATTTTACGGTAAATGTGTAAAATGATTAAGAATTTTATGAAAAGTAAATATACAATAAAAAAATAATAAATATTTTCTTAAGCTTCTAAAATGATAAATAAATAAAAGGAAGGTTTTTAAACAGTGACAAATAAAAAAGAATAAATGGAGTATTTTTAAAATACTTGTAATTTTTAATGTAAATTAACACAATTTTAATATTTTGTTAATTTTAATTCTTCAAAAAATGTTGGTTAATAAAAACTTTATTTTGAAAAATATCCTATTAAAAAACATCTTTTATGTTATCTACAATTTTTTTATTTATTTAATATTAATTGATTTAATTAGTTATTCTTTTTAACTTATACAATTATTGAAAAATAATCTAAGTGGTCACAATATGTGAATCGAGTTCAAATTAATCACTCAAAATTTTCCAACACAAATAATAATTCCACTTCTAAGAACACTGCCTTTGCTTCGGTGATCTACAAACAAAACACCAAAATCTAATAATGAGCCTATCAATAATTTTATTTTTCAAAAAATAAAAAGATAACGTATAATTTTTACCTTTTTAATCTAGTTTGGACAGATTTTTAGAATAATCCTTATAGAAAAACAAAATCAATATAAAAAATAAATAGTTTTTTCTTATAAGATAGAAATAATCTGTTTCTTTATTTTTTAAGAGACTATTTTATTTGACTCCTCCAAAATTTTAAGAAATGATTTATTTTTAATTTATGACTTATAAGAGAAATTTTATTTATTATTTATATTAATTTTTTTCTATAATGACTTCTCTATAAACTTAATAAAATTGGGTTAAAGTAACCTATTAACAATATATATATATATATATATATAATTATAAAAAAATCTTAATTTATAGTAACTTATAAATAATTTATCAAAAATTACATTTAAAACACATCAAAATATTAAAATATTAGTATTTATTTAAATGATTTGTATTATCTGTAAAATATTGCACTTTATAAGATTTTCTTCTTGTATAGTATATTTTTATTAAAATTATATTATTTAATAATAGTAATACATTCAATTATTTTAAATTACATATATATATTTAATAAAGTTATACAAAGTTTAAAATTTATTAAAATATTTATTATGCTTTTTAATTTTAATATAGTAAATGTATTTTTTAACAAAAAATAATTTATTTTTAATATTTAAACTTAGTTGAATAAATTAAGCTTAGCAAAACTCTTATTGTTTTTGTTGTTTAGATTATTTAGAGTTTGTTTATTTTGTCATCATTATAACATCCATTGTTAAAAGTAAAAAAAGTCTCTTTGAGAAAATTAATAGTTAATTAATTTTAGAAAACTGTTACTATATTGTTTAAAAAAATCATATGAAAAACAGTGAAACTACTTTTTTTTTTTTTTAATTTTCAATAATGAGAAATAAAAAAAATAAAAATAATACAATACCATGTTTGAGATGCAAGATGACGCTTAATTGTGACGGCAAGTTCCTCTTGCGCTTCCTGCCGTAGACTTGCCGACACAATTCAAATTCAGAGGCATCCATTCTCTTTTATTATTTCGAGAAAAACTTAACCAAACCTTGGGTGTCAATAACCACAGGTCCAAAACCCACACATTTTGCCACCTACAAACCATGCTTTTTGGTAAATAACTAATATCATTTTTAGAATAATAATTCTGCCCATGATTTATAAAATTCAATACGACACAACACTGAAAGAACAAAAGCGAGTAAAACGAAACAACTCACAATAATATTATATCATCACAACCCATAAAAAGTACAGTGAGGAGGAATGAATGTGTTACATAAGAATATGAATGATAATAATATAGAAAACCCAACCAAAAGAGCCTGTGTGTGTCTTAAATTTCTCCATTCTAGTGACAGGAGAGTAATGACCAACCACTACTGACGTAGGCGAGTTGAACAAAGAGCCTTAGACACAAAACACAACAACCTCTGCACAAATGGAACCCCATATGTAACAGACAACCACAACGGTTGAGGAATTAGAAGAGAATGGCAAATGCAAAAGCAATGAAGGAAGCAAAAGCCGTTGGCACAAAGAGGGTGGTGGCATCAGAAGAAGGACCTGGGGCAGGTGCTTCAGCAGCTGAAACCCCACTTGCTGCCATCACCAACATGGCAAAAACCAAGGCCAACAAAACATTCATCTTCATTGCCTCCATTGCTCAAAGCTTTCTTTTCTTTTCTTTTTCCTTTTCTTTTCTTCTTCTATCAGAAACAGGAGTTTTTTGAGACAATGGGTGGTGGCAGTGGGTGGACAACATCATGCTGCTATGCCTCATCTTATATAGCTGAGTCCAGGGAAAAACACGGGCACCCTGCCCGGACTTCTAGGTTCGAGGTTGTCGGGCAGCCGCACCTGCCCGATTTGTTGGACAGAGTGTCCTCGTTGCAACTCTTTGTGCCATACAGCTGTCGCCAACCGTTTGTGGGGCTATTCTTCTTTTTTATTTTTACATTTTCTAAAAGTTCCCTTTTTCTTTTTCACAAACAAATAATAATTATGTAACTTTTAATGGGCCTTGTTTAAAGGAATAATAATTGGAGTACAGTGGTTGGCCACCATTCATACTAATTTGGGGGTCTTAATTATTTCTATTGATTTAATTAATTTGTTTTTAGTAGTACTGTTGAGCTGGTGGAGGCTCATGTTACCTGCATATTCATCGATTCTTCCAAGTCTCTCTGTTTTTAACATGATTTGGACATTGATATATTTGACGTTAACCAAGTATTCTCATGAACTTGTTCTCCCTTGCTTGTCATTTGGTTCGTCATTGTCATATATAAAGATATATCTTTTCTGAAAATCGTCTAAGTATTTTTCAAATAATAATTATAGTACTTTAAGCATATTGATATACACTTTAATATCTCTAACAAAAGGTATAAAATTTATGTAATACTTTTTCATTTATAAATCAAGAGAATTCATGATTCTTCTTTCGGTACACGATTTTCGTATTAAATGTGAGAGATGTTCTATAAATACTTTGAAGTATATATGCATGAAATCACATATTAAATTTTAAAAAGGGTATATAAATCAGTTCATGAAATATATATATATATATATATATATATATATATATATATATATATATATATATATTCTTTATATGGACGAGTTCATTAATGGCTATTGCATTTTACGCCTCTAATTGAGAGTGTTGGATAAGAACCTCACATTCGTAACTCCTTTGCCCTTGTCATTAAGAAAACTGATATCGCAACATGACAATTGAATTCACGAGAGACAATTCAGATATCCATGTACGAATGAATGTCCATCACAATTCTCTGCGTGAACCTAATCAATGTTGTTCGTTTTATTTAGAGGTGATATTTTCGGAAGCATTTTCAGATTTGTGTGGTTTTCAGTTTTATTACTATAACTTTCTCATTTTGAAATCAACATTGTTACTGTTAATACCATTTTGGAGTCAACCATAATGTGCCCGAATTTGAACCAATTGATCACATTCAAGATCCAGTTTATGACATGCATGCAAGGAATATTATTGCAAAATGCTTTTTCACTTAAAGATCATATCATATGGAGACAATTAGTATTTTTAATGTATAAAATTATTAAAATCAAATTTGTCTCTCTTGATAGAATCTTTTCATACAACATCTTTAAGAGATATAATTAACTAATTATGTCGAACTTTGTTAGTAAATTAAGAACGGTTGACTTCATATTCAAATTTTGTATTACACAAATTCATTATAATAATCTTTTAAGGGTTAAAAATTGAATGATTTGGGTTTAAATTTAAGAATACCGTGGATAGAAAACTGATAATTCTACTAAAAATCTGTTCTAAAATTAATTGTTTGCCTTCAAATGAATTACAAGAGGTTTCTATTCAGCAAAACAATTAAACTGAAAATCCAAACAAAAGAGACTTTAGTAATGATGATGAACATAACGTGAGTTTTACATTTGGAGACCTAGGACTGTGCTTAATTAGGAACGGTGGTTTGATAATCAGATCAAATAATTGATACCGACAAAGTTGCTGACATGGTCTTCTGTCAATTCTTTGGTCTTAACGGTTTCTCAATGTTTTTTTAAAGTGATGCAACTCAACATCAAATTCAAACCTTAATAGCGCTAGCACTTGCTTTTTTAACGCAACTTTATATAAGTTTTTCAAAAGGAGTGTTCATAACGGTATAGGTTTACATTTCAGAAAATGAGAATGAAGAGGTTTTTGATTCTTTAGTTGATCACCTAACATGGGCATAACAGGGCCCCAGCCCCCCATCTTCCACTGAAAGTGTGGCAAGTTATTTTACACTATCCAAAATGGATACATATTGTTTTAACAAATTATAGGATATTAGGATCTTCAATGATCCAATTTAAAAGTAGTTTTGAATGGTTTATCTTTTTAAAAATTAATTAATTATACAAATATGTTTAAAAGGGTATTAGCAAGAAACAAATAACAAAAGAGAACAAAAGTACATTCACATATTATTTTCGGGGAATTGGCCGAGGCAGGGAAAGGAAACTTCAAACAAATGGTCCCCTAACTTGCTTCCAATCTTAGCAATGTGCCAACTTTCTTTTTTGTCAACATGTCTTCGAATCTCGTTGTTAAATCAAATAGCTTCCACCAGTGCATCTCTCAAAAATCTAGCTACTTTGTTGTATGTAAATATGCTTTTATAACGGAATTGTCAAATATCTGTGTCGGATTAATGTATTAATAACATATTTGGATATGAAAATATCTAAATTCATATTTAAAGATAAATGTAGTTTGAAATTTGTCTTAATATGTTTAATAAATTTATATTAAAATTAGTTTTGCTTCTAAATATTTGAATCAATGTGAGAAATTATAATTTTATTTGAAATTAAAAAATGTTATACAAAATTTTATTTTAATTTATAACACTTTCACTTTAAAGGTTAGTACATGGAATAAGAGAAAAGAAAAGATAAAATAAGAATCTTTAAAATTGATTTAAAAAAGACTTATTATAATATCGATATTTTCTTCATTTCACCATCGTGAATTTTTACAAGTGATCAACTATTAAATTTAAACTTAATTTAAAATAGGAATACCACAATATTATTTGATCCATCTAAAGGCCTTAGACAGGGTAATTCCATTTCACTCTATTTGTTTGTCTTATACATGAGGAAACTTACTTTAATGATTTCAAAGAAAATTTCAAAAAGTTTGTGAAAGTCTATTAAGGTGTCAAGGTATGGCCCTTCTATATCTCATCATTTTTTTCACTAATGACTATCATTTATGTGTAAAGACCAAGACCTCTCAAGTTTGTATGATGCATAAAACACTTTATGCCTCTTATTTAGTATCAGAATTTAAAGTTAATATTCAAAATTCTCATTTCTATGCCACCAAGAATGTGAGATGGTTGAAATGTGAAAAATATAGCTATATATATATATATAATTCAAGTTACCAATAACTTGGGATGCTACTTAGTTCTCTCACTCATGCATGAGAGAGCCTTCAGGAAGGAGTTTAAGTTTCTTAAAGACATAAATTATTCTTGACTTGCATCTTGAAAAAAAATTATTGAATAAGTCACAATAACTTACACTTGCTACTTTGGTCTTTAGCTCATTATCATCATCCTTTGAAGGATAATGCTACAAGGTATTGGAGTCCTATGAATTAGTAAGTTGTTACCTAACCCAAAAACATGGGAGGGTTGCGAGTGCATCAAGTTAGGGTACATAACATAGTTTTCTTCCAAAAATTAGTTTGATCTTTTTCTTTACATGCCGAAGAAGCTACAGTTCAATTTATGTCAACTAAATACTTGCAAAAATCTCACATTTTGAGAGCCACAAAAGTCCAACATTGTTCATTTACTTGGATATCAATATGCAAAAAAATAGAAGTTTTAAAGGATGGATTCATAATTAGAGTGGGACAAATAAATGTTTCACTTTGGTATAACAAATAGTATGGAGATGGCCTATTGTGTTCACTAGTTTTCTATGTGCATATAAGTAACACAATTACAACTTATTGATATTTCTATCACAGTGAATGCTAGTGATGAGAACTTGTTACACCATTGATCCAACATGTTAAGGATTTGTAGTGCTATAATTATCAACCATTCTAGCAACACTTAAGATGTGATATGGGATCAAAACAATGTTGGGATCTATTTAGCCAACTTGACTTATAATTGATTATTGAAAAAACTTCTATTATATAAGCTAATTCTATTGGTGTTTGGATAAAAATAATATAAGAAAATATTTATGTTTTTCTTTGATTGGCTAATGGAAAGTGCTTTACCCATAAATAGCTAAGGAAACATGGTATAGCCAATATTGGCCCTTGCCATATGTGAACACAAGTAGAACCCTTCATTGTTTTTAGGACTTTTATAGGATTCAAACTCTAAATATCTATTGTTTTTCAAAGAAATTTGATTTCTTTGAAAAAGATTTTCATGAGTAGATTTACAAGTTTTGCCATCATAATGACAATTTTCCTTTTTTATTGTCATATTTAATACATGGTTGATGAAAAAAAACCTTTTAAAGATTGTCCTATAATGATCTTATTTTTAATATTTGAGTAGGCTCAGTGTGAAAGGAAAATAAACTCTATTTAGTAGACAAATATCAAAAGGATTTCAAGACAAGATTCATATCTAAACTTCTTCTTGACACACCTTTTAATAAACTCAATATGGATGAGAATAGATTAGGCGTCCCTAAGAAAGCTAGGTTTGTAGAGACATTAGAGAAAATTGGCTAATTAGTTTTCAAACAACATTAGATTTGTTACAAGTCTGCTTGCTAAGCTTTATAAGATATACAATGGTTTGTATCTAGCATGGAATCAAAGATATACGCAAGTCATATGTCACATTCTGAAAATTAGAGTAAGATCTTATTATTAAGAGATGTTCTTCTAATAAATATATTACAGTTATAAAATTGATTGAAAAACTTTTATCAAGAGAATGAGTGCTCAAATTAGATCATACTTTATAGAAAGTAAATAAGTGCAAAGATAGGATGAAAAAACTTGGGACTAGACATGATATAACCTTTTAGGTTTGAGTATCACCTCTTCGAGAGTTGCATTTGGATCTATTAGCTGATGAATATGGAATTATGTACACCATATCATATTTTTATTATTTCTTTCTTCTTTATTTTTTTTAGAGCAAAAGATAAATTAAAATTAATTTTATAAAATCAAATTAATTTCAAACTAATTTTAAAAAAGCTTAAGAAAACATA